TATTTATATATTTTTTAATTTAAAACTAATATTATTTGTTCTTTATTTGATTTTTTTTTAATTTTATATTTTTGTTTTATCCTGTTTTATTACACTTTAATTTTTTTCATTATATACAAAAATATTTTAATTCTTAATTTTTTAAGCTATTTTTTAACTTCATTTTTGTTTTCATAATATATTTTTATTTATTTTTTTCTATATTCTAAGTTCTATATTTTTGTTAAACTATTTTTTTATTTTAAATAGATACAATTTTTCATTTTTACCTATCAATTTTAAATTATTTTATGCTTTTACTCTTTTTTATATAAATATTAAATTCTTATTTGTAAACATCATAGAAAGTTAAAATTATACTAATTAGTTTTATAAATTTCATTTTTTTTGTTTTTTTAATTTATTATTATTTCATTAATTTTTAAAGTTTAATTTTTAAGAATAGTTTAGTTATTTTAATTAATAATATTTAGATTTTATTACATTAATTGAATTAAATAATCTTTATACGATGAAAGATTTAGAATTTTTATAAATATTCAATTAAATATATATATGATATAGATTATATATTTATTTAATTTATATTAGCCTTTTTGCCTAAAAAACTAAAATAATTTAAGAAATTTTATCATGTTTATATATAATCTATTTATTTTGGAAAAAAATAAAAATCATATTAAATAATAAAAGAAATAATAATATGAAAGTAGATAAAAAATAACAATATATTTAATATAAATGGAGAGAAAATAATTGATATAATGTTTTTAAGAAATTAGTAAATTAGCTTTATTAAGTTAATAGCAAAAAAAAATGATTATATTTATTTAAAAATTTATTATATTTATATTTATATATTTTTATAAATAAATATTAGATTTTAGTATATATTTATGCTTGTATTTTCATATTATTTTGATTTTTTTTTCATTTATAAAATAAATATAATATCAATTATTTTTTTTGTATATTATTATTATCTTTATATTTTAATTAATAAAATTAATATTTTAATTAATTATATTTTTTTTAATTTTTTTTTTTTTTTAAATACATATATATATATATATATATATAAATATAAATATATATATTTATATATATATTTATATATATATATATATTTATATATATATTTTATTTTAATAATTTTTATATATACTATTTTAATTTAAATATTATTTTTTTTCTTAATAAACAATTTATTTTAGAATACTAATATTTAATAAAAATTTATTTATTAAATAACAAATTTTTATATTTTTTTTTTTTTTAAGATAAGAATATCTTATCTGATATTAATTAATTTTTTTGTATTTTTTTTTAAAAAATATTAATATAATTATTTAGATATAATAAAAATAAATAAAAAAATATAATTAAAAAATAAAATTAAATGAACATTAATTATTATGATACTGATTGTTCTACATGGCATCCTACAGGCAAGCTTTTCTAAGTAAAAATTAAAAACTTAAAATATATAATTAAAAAATTTAAATAAAAACTAATTAAAATTAATTTAAAATAAAAAAGGTTGAATATGCAACAAAAGCAATTGATTTTGGTTCAATATGTTTAGGATTACGTTCTAATACTCATGCAGTAAAATTAAATATATATTTTTTTTGTTTTAAATAATTATATATTATAAGGTCTTAGTTAGTCAAAAAAGATCAGCTGGTGAATTAGCTGGATATTAAGAAAAGGTATTTTAAATTTCCGACTAAATGGGAATGAGTATTGCTGGAATAACAGCTGATGCAAGTATATATTTTAATTATATTTTTTAAAATTAAAAAATAAAATAGGAATATTATGTAAATATATGAGAAATGAATGTTTGAACTATAAATATACTTATGGAAGTGCTCATCCTGTAAAAAGATTAATTGCAAAAGTTGCAGAAAGTAAATAATAATAGTATATATTTTAGAAAAAAAAAAAAAAATTAAAGAATCATAAAATAAAACTTAAGTCTATGGAAAAAGACCTTATGGCGTTGGTATGCTTATTATTGCACATGATGTAAAATTAATGTTAAAAAATTTATTTTTAAATAAAAATAAATATTAGTAAGATGGACCTCATTTGATTTAAACACTTCCTTCAGGAGAATATTATGAATATTATGTAATTAAAAACTAATAAATTATAATTATTTTTTTTTAAAAAAAGGCTTATTCAATTGGTGCTCGTTCATAATCAGCTAAAACTTAATTTGAAAATCATGTAAATAAGCTTGCAGCTTCAACTTTAGAATAATTAATTTTACATGGTTTATATGCTCTTAAAAAAGCAGTTTAAGATGATGAAGAGTATATAATTTTATTAATTTTAATTTAAAATATTTATATTTTTTTATAAATATAGTATTAATTAAAAAAGTGTTGATATTGCTTTTGTTGGAAATAATAGTAATTTTACAGAATTAAAACCTAATTAAGTAAACGAATATCTTGAAAAGCTAAAAAATGTAAATTAATAATTAATATTTAAGAATAAAAATAATTTATATATATATATATATATATATATATATATATATATATATATATATATTCATATATATACTTATAAAATCTTTATATAAATTTATTTTTTTATTTTAACTTTATTTATTTATATATTTATACTAAATATAAATATTTTTAATTTAAAGTTTAAACCAGAAGATTAAATGGATATATAAAATTGAATAAGAAATTAAAATGTTTTAAAAAAATATAATATTTTTATATATAAAATGAATTTTATTTTATTTTTTTAGTTACAATACATTAGATTTTTTATATATTTTTTAATTTAAATAACACAAATATTTATTATTTTGATGAATATAAAAACTTTTATTAAAATTTATTCTATTTTTTATAATATTAATTTTTTTTCTAATTTTTTTTTATTTTTTTTCAAAAAATATATATATATATATCATTTATTAATGCAAAAAAAAAATATTTTCATATAACTTCATCCCCAATATTATTGTTTTCGTTTTTACATTATTAATTTTATTAATCCGTTTGTTATTATTATTATTCAAAAGTAAGGCAATATTTATTTTTAACAATTTTAATATTATTACTATCAAGTACAGATGAATATTCTTTTTTTTAGACTAAAATAGGATAATTAGTAATATTAATGTCTTTATTTGTTTAGAATTATGTGTTTAAATTATTTATCTCTTATTACAACTTTTATATATTTTATTATTATGGTTTCTATTATTTTTTCCCTTTTTATTCTTATAGACTATTTTAAAGACTTAAATTATTTTAAATAAGCATTTGTTCAATTTATTCCTATTTTTTGTTTAAAATCTAATAAAATAAATAATATTTTTATACATTTTAATCACAATAGTTATTTTATTTAATTAACTCTGCTACTTATAGAATTTGTGTTTGTGATTTATTTTAAGAATATTTACTCTAATTTTAATTTTAAATTTCACTTTTCTTGTCTGAATTATATTCCCTTTATTGTAACTTTTTTTTTTTAAATAAATATTTAATAAAATATTAATTTTTATTATACATTATTAAAATTTTAATTATTATTAAAAAAAGTTTATTTGTTTCTTCTTATAGAACTTAGCATTCTAAAAAATTTCTTATTATGTTCACTCTAAGGCGACTATTATATTTGCAAAGAGTTTTTTTAATTTTAAAGGCTTCCTTTTGATGGAGACTAAATAAAATGTATTTTTTCTGTTTATTATTATATCATATATTCTTATTTAGCTTAATTAATTTCTATTAGTCGTTATTTCCATTCCATTTATCTATCATATAATGATTTTGGATCAAATTAATTTGAGCGATTAGTATTTTTCATAGGCGATCTTAGTTCTGGTGAAAACGTGCATTCTTAAATTTCTTTTTCTTATTTCAGTTATAATTAATTGTTTATATGAGTTTGTTTTAGTTAATGCCATTATTAGTTTCTTATGTGAAAATCATCACTTTTTTTGTTAAAAAAAAATAAAATTAAATTATTTTTATATTTTTTTACTAGTAAAAATTAGGTGTTTTATATAATTATGGGCTAAAAGTACACTCTTACATTAATTATATTTATCTTTGTTTATCAAGTAGTTCTTTTTATAGTTTTCTTTTATTTTATAATTTTTATATTTATTAATTAATATTTTTGTTAAAATTTTTACTTATATTATTATTTTTCTAATGCTTAATAATATAATCTTTATCCTAATCCATTTGATTAGGTTTTTTTAATTTAGGATTACATTTATTATTTTTATTAATTAATAATTTAATTTTTATTAAGAGTATCCTTATTATTAAAATGTATATTATTATGATTAGTGTTCTTTTAATATTAATTATATCCTTACTCTTCTTATAATCGTTTAATTTATATATCTAAATCATTAAGTTAATCTAATAAAACATTATTTTTTATTTCCTTTTATAAATTTTTATTATAGTCTTTTAAAAATTCTATATCATCCATATTTTAATTATTATTTTAATCATTTTAATTTTCATTTTTTTTAAGTGTCGTATTAATTTATTTTTATATATTATTTGCATTTTTTTATTATTATTAATTATTATTGATTGTACTCTAATTATAATATATATCATAGTATTTTTATTAAATATTTTTTTTTTTATTTTTTTTTTTTTTTCAGGTTAATCTTCATCATATTCTTCTTCTTATTCTTCTTCTTATATTTATGTATTATCTTAATATTCATTTACTATTTAATTTTATAATTTGCCTTGACTATTTTTATAATTTTTGATAACTGTTTCTTAATCACTTTCGTTTTTATCATATTTATTTTATTGATTATCTATTTATTCAATTACATGGTTTTCTTATATGTTACCAATTTCACTATTTTCTTATATATGTTATAATTCATATTCATTTTTATTTGATTAATTTTATTTTATATTTTAGCTATTTTATAATTAAGGTTAAATGCTTTAAGAATTTTAATTATTTTTAATTTTTTCTTGTATTTAATTGATTATTTATTAATTATTTTAATCATTTTGTTGTGAAACAATTACTTTATTTTATAGTAATTATTCTTCTTTTTAATCATAGTTTATCGAAATCTAAATATTATTTTTTTCTTCTTATTCTTAGTTTAAATAATTTTCAATTTTATTAGTATGTAAATCTTAATTTTTATAAATAAAAAATAAAAACTCAATAATATAATATTATTTATTAAAGATAATTATAATTAAATTATTAAAAAAATTACTATAATTATCTAAACCTGAAACAGTTTATTAATCATTTTAGATGATTTTTATATCATATTAAGGAATTACTTTTTCTATTTTATTTCATATATATTTAAAAAAATCAATAAATAAAATACTGTCTTATTCTTATATATTGTTGATTTTATTTTCATCATTAAGAGATTTATAAAACTAATCTAATTAAATATAAATTAAATATGTTTTAAAAAAAAATTACTTATTATTTATTAATTTTATTATTAAACAAAATAATATTGATCTTATGGATTTTATATTTACTATTATAATGGATAATTATCTATAGATAATTAATTTTACTATTATTATTATTATTATTATTCTTATTATTATTATTATTATTATTATTATTATTATTATTATTATTGCTGTTATAGTTATTATTTTTGTAATTTGTTTTATTATATATTTTCTATTATATAATTTTATTTATCATATTATTAATTTTTTTATTGTATATATTTTTCTTACTCTATCTAAAATTATTATTAATTATATAATAAATTTTATTATTTATTTTATTATATCTATTTTTATTCTAATGATTATTTTTATTCTACTTATTATTATATTTTTTTATATACTTATTATTATTATAATTACTATTATTATTATAATTTTTATTATTCTTATTCTAATATTTATTATTTTTTTATTGTTATATTTATTATTATTAATTTTACTATTAAATTTATTATTATTATTATATTTATAATTTTTATTGTTATTATTATTAATTTAATTAAATTTCCACTTGCTCTTTTTATTTATCTTATTATTATAATTATTTATTTTCATACATTTATTATTATTAAATTTAATACTGTTACTATTAATTTTATATTTATGATTGAATATTATATTATTGTTTTTGTTAAATTTAAGAATTTTAATTTTAATTAAATTATTAGTTTAAAATTTATTATTTATTCTAATTTTAATATTATTCATTCTATTATATCTGTTCTATTTAATAATTATTTTATTTTTAAAAGGAAATATTGCTATTTTATATATTTTATAATTAATTTTAATTAATTTATTTTTATATATTAATTTATTGTTAATATTATTTTTTTTATAGTTATTATTATTAGGTATATATTTAATTCATATAAAAATCTTATTTATTTAATATTTATTAATTATTATTGTTATTACATATTTTTTCATAACCTATTTATTTTAAAAAAAGTAATAAAAATAAACTTTTAATCTATATATAAAAATTTTTAAAATTAAAACTTTGTATATTTTAATCTATTGAATTATTTTATTTTTATTCTCTTTTTGTTTATTTGTTTTATATTAGAAATTATAATTTTATTAACATTTGCGTTATCATTTTCTATTATAGTTATATATTATTATTTTTTTAAAAAAAAAACTATAATTAAATATTATCAACTTATTTTTTATATACATTATTAAGTTACTATTTTCTATTTACTATAATAAATATAAGGAGAGTATGTTATTTAACTATTATTTTACGATATTTAGTTTTATTGTTAAATAAGTATATTTTAACTAGATTACTACAAATTTTAACTTTATTTTTAGTTCTATTGCTAAGGAGTATATTAAAGATAATTTAATTATTATTAAGGAATATAAGCTGTTGAAGTTTATTATTAGCATTTAGGTATTATTTAAGTACTTAGTTAGTTTTAATTTAATGGCGAATATTATATTTGTTAAATTTTTTATTTTTAAGGATTTTAAATATTTTTGAATTATATTTATGCCTATGCTTATAATTCTTATTATTATTAGATTATGAAATAATTGTTATAATGATAAGACTTTTGATAATAAATTGTTGTGTTTTAAGGATGTCCATGTATTGGAATTATATTTTACAATTACATTCCTTTTAATTTAAATTTTTTATATATTTAAAATGAAAATAAATTTTATAAAAAAAAGTATTAATATTTATTATAATAAATTATTTAAATAATTAAAATCAATTATAATAAAAAAATATAAATATTTGAATATATTATTTAAAATTAAAATAAATTTAAATTAAAATTATTTTTAAATAATATCCAATATAAAATATAAATAAATAAAATAAAATATTTTTTTTAATAATATTTTATAAATATATAATATATATAATATATATAAAATATAAAAAATATATAAAATATATAAAATATATATATTTATATATATATCTATATATATTTATTTTTGTTTTATTCATATTTATATTTTAAAAATATTATATTATTTTTAATTTGAAGTTATTAAAATTAATTTTATAGATTTTAATATTATTTTCATCTAAAATAAATTCTTAAAATTATTTTTATTCGCTTTAAATTTTAACTATATTTTAATTTATATATAATTATACTATAATATTAAGATATAATTTATTATAAATCCATTTTCCTATTTGGATAATGATAACATCT